TGTGTCATATTTAATAGTCATAATCCAAAAAATTTGCAAAAACACGGAGTACAGTTTTAATTGTGTGTCATCTGTAAAAGTCGTATTTTAATTTCCCCCCCCCCCCATTATTTTCATCATTTCTCGCTTCTTCCCCCTCGATAACAAAGTTCACGCTTGCTTCCCCCATTTTTCTCTTTTTCCATTTTTCTCTTTGCAACCTCTCACTGGTTTGGCCATTCACCACAACGTAGACGAAGGGTTTGGGAGGATTCAAGGCTGGGCAACTTCGGATTTGGAAAATGGCAAAAGAATACAGAGAAGAAGATTTCATAGGAAATTAAAAGCAGATACCTCTCTTAATTTATTTCTTCAATTGTTTTACAGGGCTGAATGGCAGGAGTAAGCAGAATCCTGAAATTAAATTGCATATAAAATAAGGTTTTCTTCTCATTTTTCTATCCAAATTCTAATTATTTGTTTGCCTTTTGTTTGGATCCGGCAGTACTTGCCATGGAATCTGATTTATTTATTTACTTGTAAGCTTGTGAAGTTGTTAGGCTGAATTCAATTTTTCTTCCTCTTTTGTTCATTGGGACGAGATCTCAACCTTATCTTTCCACTGCTCGATTGGATCTAGTTATTTCATCGTTGTCAATTTTGAATTCCTTAAAAATTAAAATTCAATATTTTAAGTGATCGATTGGTGTTGTTAATTTGAGTAGATTTGGATCGTTAATTGTTTTTGGTAGGGAACACGGAATGTTTAATGCTTGCTTCTGGAGATTTTAGATTGAATAGTAGGAAAAGCTGAAAAAGATGTTATTGTTGTTTTGTTATACATAATTTATCGAATAACAAGCTTCTGATATGATTCTTCTGGCCATTTCTAACTTGTATAGATTAGAATAGTTGTTGCTGAGTGCTAAAATAACTTTAGCAATGTGAACTAAAACTTGAAACAATGTTTAGAGGACTTGATTGTGCTGAGTTATTTGTATTTGACTCATTGTGCTCGATCTTTTGGCTAATTCCCTTTTAATGATGGAGTTGCATCCATTTAATTTGGGTCTCTTATTTACCAATGCATATGTATTTTTTAAGTTTGTTGAAACACCCTTTTTCCTGGAATCAATGGTTATGATGATAATTAATTAATCAATGTTTCTGTTTTTTATATCATTTTCTTCTGGTGTATGGGGATAAAAAAGTGCTATGAATTTATTTCATTTTCTTTGAAGTTAATAGGATGAACCATTGCTTATGCTTTTGGATTGAATTTGTTCACCTTTTAATACTAAATTCTACTCCTGGAAATTTACCAAGAAATTTTAAGATATTCTCAAGATCGCACAGAAGAATGATGTAAATTTCAGTACTGATTCTAGCCTCTCCAACTATAATTTACTTGTTTAGACTTCTCCTGCGATTGGAACTGAGCATGAACTATATTTTTTATTGGAACTTCAGCAAGTTTGATCTGGTTTTGAACTGTATAATTAGGCCATTTTGAATCGTTCACCAATCACTTAAGTTCTTTAAAGTTTTTCATCTTTAGAATCATTTATGCTAACATCAAAGGGCATATTTTTATGTGTTGTTGCCTGCTTAATTTTTCATGATGTTTTTATATTTGGATTTGTTAGTTGTTCTTATATAATTGTGGTCACTCTATTCTTTCATTTTCTTCATTGTAGAAAGCAGTAAGAATCACTCCAGCAATGGCACATCAATTAATTATGGTAAAACATTTTCCTATGATTTTTGCTCATTATGGAAATTTAGAATATGTCTCATACCTGTTCCATTTAAATCCTTTCCAAACTTATATTGCTTCTTTTTTTAGATCCTGAAATTAGAGAAAGTTGAATTTGTGGTAGCTCCATATGAGGATAGGGGAATTTTATTTTCAAAGGATGTCTACTTAAGTACTTAAGCCATGAAGCATATGCAAGAGAAATTAGTGAACAAGAAAGTAATTGACTACTCAATCTAATGGCCTTTCACGTAGAAAAATAAATAACATGCCAGAAATACTTGGAAGTGTTTTTCTTTGTCTCTAGAACATTAAACCAGCATGTCATTTACTTGTTGAAATTGTTGATAATAAATGGCACGCTCCCATTAATGGCATCTATATGAGCTTCTGTTTTGAAAAATCTAGATGATGTATATGATCTTTCTAGTCAGGTCATTAGTATTTACAAGTCTATATTTTGTTGATATATATGTACATGTTTTATCAGTTTTAAAGATTGAGAAGGGCAGTCAAATGCCAGAAGATTACCCCAAATCTTTCAAAGAAGCAGTTACAGTATTTCAGCATGCAAGAATGTTTGTATGAAGGAAATAGAATTCTTCATTGATCCATTTTTTGATTTTATAAACTTTTGCTTTCAACTTCTTTTGCATATATGATGCTGAAATCAAGGAGTTACAACATCTGAAACCTCTTACAGAACAACTTCTGCAATATCTAGATGAAGGGCTTGATTTCCTAGGACCGTATCCTTTCTTTTCTTTTTTGTTTTCCATTTTTTTTACTTTGATTCTCAAGTTACAATGAAACTTCAAGTGATGCAACCAAGAGGTAATTACCAGGTATGAGGAAAAAATAGCGGAAATTGAGAAAGTGGTACATCCATAAGGTGAAACTATTTTGCTAATATTTAGTACACAAATTTCAATTATCTATAATATGATAACAGTACTTGATGTTGGTAATACGTAACAAATATATTTGATAACAGTACTTTTGACTCAGTCTCCAACACGTATGCAACTCAGACATTGATAATAAGCTTATTTTTATTAATTTGCATATGTTTAATTATTTCTGAAAAGCCTTATTTTTTTTCTTTTACTGCAGCATGATATCTTCCAGCTCGTAGGAGCGCCTCTTGTTGAAAATTGTCTTGTTGGATTTAACAACTTCGTGTTTGTTTATGGCCAGGTATTGGCCTCTTCATTTTCTTTGATTTCATGCATGAAATATTGTTGTATTGATTAATACAGTTTTTCAATTTCTGGTCCCAATAAAATGGTTTCATTAGACTGGCAGCGGAAAGACTTATACTATTTGGGGACCAGCAAATGCCTTGTTTGAAGAAAATTTATCAAGCGATCAGCAGGGCTTAACTCCTCGTGTGTTTCAGCGTTTATTTGATCATATAAATGAGGTGAAAGTTTTGAATTTATGCTTATCAATGAATTTGTTGATTTTTTTAAAATTTTAAGAATGGATCATTTTCAATAGTTTGTGTTCTGACCTTCTTTATTCTATAGGAGCAAATTAAGCATGCTGATAAACATCTCAAGTATCAAATCCGCTGTTCTTTTCTTGAGGTAGAGTTAATTGAATTATTTTGATTCTTAGTTTTGACATAATTGGAATGCTTAGCGTTGTACTATTCTTGTTCCTTATCACTTCATTTTCAATTTTCTTTTGCATATATCATAAGTCGAGAATGAACTTGAAGTGTTGGTCAATAAGAATGTAAGCAAACTTTTCTGATACACATCTGTCATATCATACATACACATTAGTTATACAACTATCATATGGACATGAAGTAGGATGTTATTCTAAAAAATATTAATGCAAGCACTTGTTAGCAAGACTGAAAACTGTGAATTCGTGCCGTGATAACGTATATAATTTATATGGGAAGTTTTACTAATTAAATGTGTAAAATTTATTTTTACATATGCTTCAAAGAATGCATATGTAAAATTGGTCATTTTAGTACTCTTTGATAGTTATATACTTCACTTTAAATAAGTATAAATTATATATTTATTTCATATTTTTTACTTAGGTTGGCGATGGGAAGGAAGAATACACGGATGATGGCATTGATGATATTCGCAAAGAATGGGAATCTTATGTGGCAAACTTTATTATGCCGTGATAATTTGTATCGACATATGATTACAATATTTTTGATAACGTAATGTGAATATATTGTATGCAAATGGATTGTTTATATATAATATGATATATATATTTAGTATTATGAGGCATTAAATGTGATTTAGTTTGATTATTTGTCAATCTACAATATATCTATATATAATTTACGAAATATAATCACGACACACGAATGTGTGTCGTCTTTTTTAATGATGCGTGCTTCAATGACACGCAATGTATGTCATAAATACGTGTCATAAATTTATAACACACAAATGTGTGTCATCTTCATTTATGACGGGGGCTTCAATAACGTGCAATGCGCTTCATAAATGTACGTCATAGATTTATGACGCACAATTGCGCATCATCTGATATTTATGTCGGTGACTTCAATGACGTGAATTTGACGCATTATACATCATTAAAAGAGGTTTTTCTAGTAGTAGTAATTGAGATACCTCCAATGGGATGCCAAACATTCGCCAAGGTAACCTTCATTGCCTGCACATTAATCATATTCACTGTTAAAAAGTGACCTGCCAGGCAATTGTCAAAAGAGATCGGGGCCTCAACCAGTGAATTGTCAATAACCAAAGCCTCATATTCCTCTTTATCTAACGTAAGTCCCTCCAATTCCTGTTCGATGGCTCCCATAATCGAAGTAAAACCCACGCAAAATTCAAAAGACTAGAAACAAAAGAGAATCTGAGATCACAACCCAGAATACGTGCCAAAAGACGGCAGAAGAAAATCATGCCAAGCGACAGAGAACCCTAGCACAGAGGGTTTTTTCTTTTTTATCCATCCATTTTACTTATAATATATATGTGTGTGTATGGAAACTTGTTCACATGAACTGTTAACTTGGTAATCCTTGAAAATCACATCACCGTTTAACGAAATAAGGCCCGGTTTGGTTCAATGTATATTTATTTCTTGGGAGGAATATTGTTTTCCCAGATGAATACACCCATGGATGGGCTATATTACCAAGTGCTAGGAAAAAATTAATACCAACAAGGATTTTTTTTATTACATTCCCGGAAATGTCTATTCCTCCTCTCCCTTATGTATTTACTCACTCCCGTCCCCGTTGTCTAAAATAGCTTTCTCCCCTCCCTTTGTTCTGCTGAAATCTTTTTCTTCTTCGATTTAACTTAGATATTTGCTTCTGGCATTCATATTTCAATTTTTATTTTCAACATATTTCTTGGTTATGAAATAATCCAAAAAAAAAACCAGAGTGGTACACCGCTTATCCTTCACTTCTGGGCTTCTTGGTGTGAGGCTTCAAAGCAAATGGACAAAGTCTTTTCTCATCTCTCCATTGATTTCCCCAACACTCACTTCCATAGGATTCTTCTTCTGTTCCCTTTTTAATCTTCGAATTTCCTTGTTTGAGATTGAATGGTTTTTTTTCGTTGTTTTTCTTCTTTGTTTCATGAAAAATTTGTTTTTTTTTTTTGCTTGATGGGTTATGATTGTTGTTTTGCAGGTAGAAGCTAAAGAACAGCCTGAGATATCTGAGGAATACTTGGTTTCTGTTGTGCCTTTCTTCGTCTTCTTTAAGGTAAATATTTTGATGGGTGATTTTTCTTTTTCAGTGTACTCTATTGGTGGGATTAAATCTTTTATAATTTTGAATTAGAGTTGGCAATTTCTAAGTATATGTATATACTGATAAATAAGTAACCTTTATCGAGCTTTTGTTGTGGTGTTGATTTTTAATGGTTGAATGATATTGCTCTGTTTTATGGCTGTTCTAGATGTAGATAATATAGGGTAAGTTTTAAAGGTTGATTTCTTAGCGCTGCTTGTATGTACTGGTCCGATCAATGACCTTTTATATATGCGAACGCTAGCACGAAATTCAATTTTATTCTTGAGTGTATTTTAGACCATTATGTCGAAAAAAGAGCAAAAGATTTTGTGAAAATAATTGTCGAATATTATTGTCTGATACTTATTTTGTTGGTAACAAGGTCGGCAATTTTGATTAGTTGTTTCTTCTTGCATTGGAGATTTCTAGGTTATGAGACTTGCATTTGGTGTGAAGACTATTGTTTATTTAGTGCTAGTGATCATTGAATATATATATTCACACTGAAGTTGATTTAATCCATGAATGTATATGTTCGAATGCTAGTTGCTAAGTCAGTCCGATTACTTGATTACTTATTTTCTTGCAGAATATAATCATTAGCTGCATGTTATTGCATTTGACAATCCTAGGCTGAGAGTATTTCACTGAACACACACAGGAATATTTTCTCTTGTTAGATTCATTCAATCATTTCCCTCAAAATGTAGAGAAATGAATTTAACTAAACTTGCCCAAGAACGCATTTTTCCATCTTGAATAAAGGCAATAAATATTCGTACTGATAAGGTTGGACTATCCAATTGTGTGGTTGTTCTTCCTTTAATATCGCCCTTTGATAATTTGCTTGAAGTCTAGGTTTGGTTAATATTCGATTTTTCTATTTAAACACTCTTGAAAGATGAATAAGGTTGGCCATTTGATTGTTTCTGTCAGGATGGTCTGATTTTTGATAAATTGGAGGGTACAGATCCTTCCAGTCTCGCCAACAAAGTTGCCAAGGTTACTGGGTTTATTAACCCAGGAGAAGTTGCTGCTCCTGCTAGTCTTGGGATGGCTGCCGGCCCCACCGTCCTTGAGACGGTCCAAGATTTGGCAAAGGTAAATGGTTCATCCCAGACAGGAAATCAAGTGCAAACTGGTCTCGACGACAAACTTAAAAAAAAACGCTTACATCCTTTTCTTTTCCTTGATTTCTTTTTTTTTTTTCCTCGAGTAATGATTGCAGAGTTGAAGAAGTTGTTGCATGCTGTGTTCTCACAATTCGGAAAGATATTGGATGTGTTAGGATTGAAGACGCTGAAACACAAAGGTCAAGCTTGGGTTATTTTCGAGGATGTTAGCTCCGCTACAAATGCTCTTAGGCGAATGCAGGGCTTTCCCTTTTATGACAAGGAGATGGTATATGTATTTTTGTAATTGGTTCCTTGTTTCTGTCATTGATGGAGACTGCAACAAGTTTCCAAGCTCCGCTTTTAATATGTCAAAATTGTTTTTCCTTGTTTCTGTCTATGAATTATTATTAAATTCTTTATATTTTAATATTTTTTTGCGGATACTAATCAGATTATGTAAGTATGAATTAAATGACTAAATTTAGTATATAAAGAAATGGCTGTCCCTTTTTCCCATATGTATGGGGTAAGGGAGAGGTAAGATAGTAGGCTACCCCCAACATCAGGTTGAGAGCAGCTTCCGTAAGAGACATCCGAATTATGAAATGCCTTCCGTGGGATTCGATCCCACGACTTCAAGGTTAAGAATCTTGTGCTCTAGATTGTATTAATTGTACTTTCTTCAATTACACAAGCAGCAGATATAATGCAACTGTCACTACCAAACAATAACACAACTGGTTGTGAAGCTAGACCCTAGGTTGGATCGATCTCAAACGAACTATAATCCAAGAGATTAGCATATCATTACTGCTTAATTCTACTCGGTTATACTTTCTTCAGTTCAGTATTATGTTTAACCCGTTAGTCACTCAAATCCTTTCTCCATCCTTGGATCAGTCTCTCCTAATTCTTGATGATCTCGGACTACATTTTCAATTCTTCTTCAACTGTTGCAATCTCCTGTTAGAACAAGAAACAAGTCAAATTGGGCTTCTTTGGAGTGGCTTAATCATACACCGCAATCATCTACAATAAAAGTTGTTAGGTTTACTTTTCTGAGCATTTCAGCTTTGGTTGGTTGATCCTCACGTTGCAAGCCAAGGAAGTATAACTGAAGTTTCTTGGCAGCCTCCATGAAATCTCTAGCATGCCTCTCAACATCAACTATGGCAATTGCAAATGAAAACACCATTTTAGAACACAAGGATTTAATCCAAAAAGCTTATATTAACTAAATTTATCTGAACTTTTCTGGGTACTACATTAGTAAGTTAATGCATTCATTCAAGTACATCTATCTGATTCTGAACAGTGATAAAATTTGGAACCAAGCATCAGAATAAGAACAAATATCAAAAGACTGCCATAGAAGGATCATGGCAAATCATCTTTATATATATATATATATATATGAAGAAAAAGAAATGGAAATGCTTTGGGAATTAAGGAGAGGGTGAGAGCTACTGACTCTAATGAGAATGGTGGGGAGAACGGTCAATAGCTTGAAGCTCCCTGGCGGGCAAGCATGGCAGCAAAGCCGTCTCCAACGCAACCACAATGTAAACATTAATATATTTTTAATATATTTTTACGATAAATTATGTAAAATTTAATATTAATTAAAATTAAAATAATACATGATATATTTAAATACTCAAGTAATATATTATCAACAGATAGAATTTTTATATAAATAATTTTTATTTAAATATTTAGAATTTTACTTGTTAAAAATATAGAATAAGGACAATTTGGTAAAATATACATTCCAGTAATTTTTTATTTATTCAACCAAACACGGTAATCTTACATTCTTGCCAAACCAACCAAACACAGTAACGTAACATTCCCCGGTAATCTTTTATTCTCACTGGTAATCTTACATTCCGTGAGCCAAACGCACCCAAAAAGCAAGGCCACATCCTATTTTTTCTCTCAAATCCGGCAGCAATTTAGAATCCTAGTGGGAATTTTTTTACTTTTGAAATTCAAAAGTATAATGGGTTATATGAATGAGTTTTAAGAATTTTTTTTAAAATGGATTCTAATATATAAAAATGAACTTTATAATTAAAAAGTGTGTGTATATATATATAATGTGTATTGGGTTTTATTTAATGAACATATATTTATTTATTTAGTCTTAATATGAACTACTTTATTTATATTGGGTTTTCTATATTTAATAAACATGTATTTGTTATGTTATTCAAATTTTCAATCTTTAAGTAAATTCATCTTTTATATATATTTTTTAAAAATTTAAAGTTAAATTATATTTAAATTATTAATCAATTATTACATAAAAATTTAAATTAATTTTATATAATCTAATAAAATCATGTTCAATAAATAAATTATTTAATAAAATTAATTTAATGATTATAATTTAAAATTGTAATATAATGATTATAAATAATATAGAAAGTAAATTTATTAATATAATTATCATAATTAAAAATTTATTTTAACTTTTAAAAAGTATTCATATTAATTATCATAGTTTATTATAAATTCAAAATCTCACAACTTCATCAATGGTAAATTATAACTCATGTAAATATCAAGTCAGGTAAATCGTAGATCGGTTGAATAACAAGTCAGATCATTTACATGTTGAGTCAATTACAAGTCAAGTTCATAACAGGTCAAGTTGATAACATGTCTTGTAATACCAGTTATTTACCAGCTTAATCTCGGGTCCAGGTTCATATCAATCGGATGCAAATCGGGTTCGGTTATCATATTATCGATTTAATTCAGGTTCAAGTCATTCACAGATAGGTCGGGTTCAGATCCACAATTTTTAAGTCCAACTCAGGTTTAGGTCAATACTAGTTTTGACTCGAATCAATTTCGGATCATCACCACCTTGGATCACAAATAGTTTTGACTCAAGTTGATTTCAGTCAGTTTTGCATGTTGGATCAGCTTTTTACATCCCTACAAGGTAGTATCTATTCATAATTTTTTTTTAACCTATTGACAATACGCACACACTACAGACATAGCTACTCGAACTCATGACCTCTAATAAAAATAATATTCCCTTATACCAATAAAATCACTTGATAAGTTATTGTATATATGTAATTTAAAATGTCATAAACAAAATTAATAAATATATCAATTAAATTTTATTTTTCAAAATATTAATTTCTTTTAAAGTAAAAACAGGTAAATTAAATAATCTAAGAAATTCACTATGCCAATCCATCTAAAAGATGTGAACAAGCCTTAGATAAACTAAACAAGAAATAGTAACGCAGACCTGAAATTAGAGGGTGAGATGAGCAAGAGAAGCCGTACAATCCTAATGTCTAAAAAGTAGGACAAATTTTAAATAGTAAAATTGATATACTCTTAAAGTTTAATATTTAAAATAATATTTAAACGATGTTATTTTAGTATAATATGTCACGTCAATAATTTTTAGTTGTCATCATTTCGTTATTGATTTAACGATATAGTATATAATTGATATAAAATTAAAATTCAATGTTATAATTGATATAAAATTAAAATTCAATGTTATAATTGATAAAAACTAAAAATTTACTAGTATAAACGATTCAACAAATAAAAATTGATGATATTTAATACAATTTACCTTAATTTTTAATATAACATATGAGTTATATAAAATTTTAAATTAAAAAATAGTACACTATTAGATGATTTTTTACATGTAAATAGGGATGTCAAACGGGGGCTGAGCGGATACGGATATCTCTTTCCTCATCTCCATACTCTCCTAATATGTATGTATCTATCACCTACACACCACTCACGACGGGTAAAATTTTTAAATCCACTCCTACTCACACAGGTATATTCTCATATTTACCCTCACACTTTCTACGTTGTTGGATATCCGCTACCTATTTCATACTCGCATATATTAGCCCATACACATCTGACAGCAGCCTCACAGATTACATAAGCAACAAAACATAAAACAAACCGTCCATTAAAAAGTATAATAAAATGAAACAATGATTAATTGAGTTAAGGTTTAACATAGATTTTAAAATAAATTAAGGTTTCAATGCATAAAACATCATAATGCATAATTAAAGTATAGAATCATAAATGACAAATACCATAATAAAAGTGTTTATAATCTAACATTTGATTAAGTTGCAGGTCATATCATATAAAATCTTAAGATTTACTGATAATTTATGGATTTAGACCTAAATTCATATCGTCGTATATTTTTTAAAAATTTAAAGTTAAATTATATTTAAATTATTAATCAATTATTACATAAAATTTAAATTAATTTTATATAATCTAATAAAATCATGTTCAATAAATAAATTATTTAATAAAATTAATTTAATGATTATAATTTAAAATTGTAATATAATGATTATAAATAATATAGAAAGTAAATTTATTAATATAATTATCATAATTAAAAATTTATTTTAACTTTTAAAAAGTATTCATATTAATTATCATAGTTTATTATAAATTCAAAATCTCACAACTTCATCAATGGTAAATTATAACTCATGTAAATATCAAGTCAGGTAAATCGTAGATCGGTTGAATAACAAGTCAGATCATTTACATGTTGAGTCAATTACAAGTCAAGTTCATAACAGGCCAAGTTGATAACATGTCGTGTAATACCAGTTATTTACCAGCTTAATCTCGGGTCCAGGTTCATATCAATCAGATGCAAATCGGGTTCGGTTATCATATTATCGATTTAATTCAGGTTCAAGTCATTCACAGATAGGTCGGGTTCAGATCCACAATTTTTAAGTCCAACTCAGGTTTAGGTCAATACTAGTTTTGACTCGAATCAATTTCGGATCATCACCACCTTGGATCACAAATAGTTTTGACTCAAGTTGATTTCAGTCAGTTTTGCATGTTGGATCAGCTTTTTACATCCCTACAAGGTAGTATCTATTCATAATTTTTTTAACCTATTGACAATACGCACACACTACAGACATAGCTACTCGAACTCATGACCTCTAATAAAAATAATATTCCCTTATACCAATAAAATCACTTGATAAGTTATTGTATATATGTAATTTAAAATGTCATAAACAAAATTAATAAATATATCAATTAAATTTTATTTTTCAAAATATTAATTTCTTTTAAAGTAAAAACAGATAAATTAAATAATCTAAGAAATTCACTATGCCAATCCATCTAAAAGATGTGAACAAGCCTTAGATAAACTAAACAAGAAATAGTAACGCAGACCTGAAATTAGAGGGTGAGATGAGCAAGAGAAGCCGTACAATCCTAATGTCTAAAAAGTAGGACAAATTTTAAATAGTAAAATTGATATACTCTTAAAGTTTAATATTTAAAATAATATTTAAACGATGTTATTTTAATATAATATGTCACGTCAATAATTTTTAGTTGTCATCATTTCGTTATTGATTTAATGATATAGTATATAATTGATATAAAATTAAAATTTAATGTTATAATTGATATAAAATTAAAATTCAATGTTATAATTGATAAAAACTAAAAATTTACTAGTATAAACGATTCAACAAATAAAAATTGATGATATTTAATACAATTTACCTTAATTTTTAATATAACATATGAGTTATATAAAATTTTAAATTAAAAAATAGTACACTATTAGATGATTTTTTACATGTAAATAGGGATGTCAAACGGGGGCTGAGCGGATACAGATATCTCTTTCCTCATCTCCATACTCTCCTAATGTGTATGTATCTATCACCTACACACCACTCACGACGGGTAAAATTTTTAAATCCACTCCTACTCACACAGGTATATTCTCATATTTACCCTCACACTTTCTACGTTGTTGGATATCCGCTACCTATTTCATACTCGCATATATTAACCCATACACATCTGACAGCAGCCTCACAGATTACATAAGCAACAAAACATAAAACAAACCGTCCATTAAAAAGTATAATAAAATGAAACAATGATTAATTGAGTTAAGGTTTAACATAGATTTTAAAATAAATTAAGGTTTCAATGCATAAAACATCATAATGCATAATTAAAGTATAGAATCATAAATGACAAATACCATAATAAAAGTGTTTATAATCTAACATTTGATTAAGTTGCAGGTCATATCATATAAAATCTTAAGATTTACTGATAATTTATGGATTTAGACCTAAATTCATATTCGTCTAAAAATTATATGGTGAGTAGTTAGTAGGTGGACGGATGCAAAATGGGTAAAATCTCCCATCACCTATCTATTATTCACTGTAGGTATAATTTTTTATATCTATATTCGTCCACTATACACTAAATTTATACTTATCATCGACTTAATTGAAACGGATGTGATACAAGATCCACGAAATTGTACCCGTGTTATCCCTACCTGCTAAAACTTTACAAAAGATTAGTTGGTTTTGGATTGTCATTTGCTGGTTACACTTGGAAAAGGAAAAGAACTGAACGTGAGACTTTAACTCAAATGATGAAAACAATGAAAAGCAAAAAGATGACCCATTGATGCTGCTGCCTCGAACCCTACCAGCATTCCAGATCCACTCTTGGTAGGTCGGTCCAATTCATTTTCTCTCCTCTCTTTAACCATTATTTGTCACAATAGAACATGATTAGATGCCTAACCTAACTCCTGGATTTGCTAATCTATTTTCCTAATATTATCTTCCACCTCAAAAAGAAATAACAACAAAAGCTGCTTTTTGAAGCTCAAACATCAACGCTACAACAATCAGGTTCGAACCATTTTATACCAAGAGACGAATTTTTAATTAAGAGAGGTAAACTTTTAAAATTTAAAAAAATGAAAATATATTCTCAATCAAAAAATATAATTATATATAATTATTCGATATTTGATCAGATTTTGATTAATCTGAATTTAATAACCTCAAAATGGTTTATTTTCTATGTAATTTATAAATTTTACATAAGAAACTTTCACTAATAGCTTATGCCGATGGTCAGTTTACTGAAATAAATCGTGGAACTTCTCAATTTGATGTAAGAGATGGTAACCAGCTTGCATTCTGGTAATAAATATTGGCTTTCGTCAACTTGGTATAATATAACATGCGATTAAATAATGACCATTAGCCTTTCTTCTCCGAAACATTTTTTCAACCGACGAAATCATGCAAAAGCTGTCCTCCGATAACATCCCTTCCGAAATGCCGATTCTGTGCTTCATAACCGCCGATGACGTACCCCTCGCTGCTTAGGCCAAGGCCGAAATGCTGGGCTGCATTCATGGGAAACGGCTCGGATAAGCCGATACTGTTGTTTTGATGAAGACCTAGTGTTAAGGAGACCCCATTGCTTCCACCTGCCATACCAACGTGTGGATGGCTTGACATGCTGTTGTACGATGATAAGTTGAGTGGTTCGCTTCTGAGGGGTATATCAGCAAGTGGTTCACTTCGGGTGCGTTTCGATGGCATATCTTGAGCCCTTTGAATGGAGGTTGATGGATTTTCGGGAGCGAGAGAGTTCATCGAAGACATATGATCGTTCAACTTATTCGAATTTTGGTCCTCAGAACCTTTTTGAGCTTGTTCGAGAGTGTGTATTTCTTCCACCATTGGCTTCCAAAGCCTTACTCTAGCATTTATAAACCAATTTGATACCTGGTTGACAACCGAACACTTTCGAAATTAACGTCTGCAAAATGATGTTATAAAGGAATGTAAGAATGATGATCAATGGCACACCTGGTTACGCGATAGACCGGTTTGTTTGGCCAACATGAGCTTGTCGGTGTCGGTCGGATAACTGAAACATCGAAAACAAAAGTTTAAAACAGCAAATAAGTTCCGGTGACCGGTTATATCAATGCAATTAATGTACTTACGGGTGTAGAAAGTGTTCAAATAGCCATGCTCGAAGTACAGTCACAGCGCGCTCGGGGAGGCCTCGTTGAGGCCGCCAAACAGGTTGGTGCTCATGGAACCCGGAGTTATGAACAGCTCGGTTATAAAGGCTTCTTTCGCCACTTCCAAACACCGGACGTTCATCTTTCCCGGGGCTCGTCGGACCGTGAGGCTCATTAATGAACTGAAGCTGGTCTGTGATTGCTTTCTTCAAGCACTTGAAATGTTTAGACATGGCTTTCAAAGCCACGTTTGCAAAAGGAGCAGCATTTCCCAGCCCAGCAACATACTCGAACGATGCAACTACAGCTTGTATTTGTTGATAATACTGCTTGTAGCTCCTGTAAACCTGAAAATGAAACTCCATTAAATCAAATAAGAGACAATTCTCAATCCCATAACACAAAATTCATCACATTATAGAAAGATAAGCGCTCTAATTTGTAGGCTTGGAATAACCGATGATGCTTACCACAAACTTTATTTTGGAGTATAAATCTTTTCAAAACGGATTCCCTCCTATCACTTTTTTTATTGGTCTAAAATGATTACAAGATAGTATTCTGTTCGGATTGCTCTTGAACTAATTGAGAATGAACTCACATCCTACATATCTAAAAAGGAATAACACATTCTTTAAACACCGAGATAGCTTGATTCTTTAAACACCGAGATAGCTTGATGAGTTTGATTCTTTCAATCACTTAAAAAGCACATTAATTAGCCCCAAATATTGGCGACATTATAACTTATTAGAGCACTTTATAACATTAATCTCCATGCATATATTCCCACCTATCAACTTTACATAAAAAGTGTATTTTTTTTCTGTGATCATTGAGGCAAAGAATCTAATTCACATAGTATTCAACCGAGGAAAGGCTTTTGGGTTTTAAACAGCTCAGAGAACTTTCATTTGATTAAAAAAATGGCAGAAGATAGTATGATTTTACTGACAAATAATTCGTATTTAGTAATGCATGCAAACAACACCCAAGACTGCATGTTGGTTCAAGCACTTACTGCACTTCAAGCCATTGAAAAAGTATCTGACATTGTTTTATTTTAATAATGCTTGAAACCATCTTCAAGGAAGATTTAAAGACACGGATCCAAATAAACCCTTCTACATACTGCACTTTTAAGCCTAACTTTGCAGAAAAAATAAGAGAATCGGAGCAACAAAAAACAAGGGGAAAAAACACAATAACAACAGACAAAAGTACATCGAAACATGAAAGTGCATGTTGTGGAAGCTAACCTCGTCAAGCATTGAAATTAGCCTCGACTTTTTCCTTCTACTCTCACCATCGTCGATAATGTCAGTAGCACTCAAATTCTGCAATGGTGGCGGCTCCATTAAAGAAGAATCGGGAGTGAACTTTTCAGAGTAAAATCCCCATCCCACATCGCATAATTCTTCTAATAACTGTTGCGCAGGACTCAGAAGCCTCGATCCCTTGAGAATCGAAGCATAACCGGTGGCACTGGCACTGGCACTGGCAGCACCAATAATGCTTGGAACCACAAATCCAAGCTCCAAAGGAAGACTGTTTTGGTGGGTATCATGAGATGATAGAGAAAGAGACAAGGCTTGACCAGTGGCACTGTTGTAAGAAGGGTCGAAATATCTTATGTTTTGAAGGTTCTGTTGGGTATAAAGAAAAGGGTGGTTGTTCATATCTTGAATCGAGCTAGGGTTCAATGGTAAGGACGATTGTGCATCCAAATAAGGGTGGTGAAGAGAAACTGATGAAGAAATCCCACCAACAAAACCCATGGAACTCGCACCTTCTTCTTTACCGGCACAAACGAGACTACCGTTGGCAGCGCTAGACAGCAAATCGGAGGAAAGAAGAGAAGCGTCGTACAAAGGGAGTAAACCGGAGCAAGGCGAAAGAGAAACAGCCGTGGATTCAACGCCGGCTGAGTGGTTTTGAGCCACAATTCTTAGCTTATCTCTTCTGCTTTGTTGTGGGACATGGTAGGGCTCAAAACCCTCCGCCATAGCCACACAAAAACAAAATGAAAAATCAAAGAGAGAAAGCAAATAAGCAGAACTAGAAGATCATTATGCTTGAAACTGTAAAGTTCTGATCTTCGTGGCAGAGAAGAGAGAGCTTCAAGCAAACATCTTTCTTCTTCTTCTTCTTTCTCTTACCCAAAAAGAAATGAACTCAATGTCATGTATGTCACTCTCACTCACTCACGAAACTCAAAATCTTTGTTACAGGTTTTCTTTTTTTTGCTTCTGTTTCTTCATTTAATTTCTCTGTCGTGCTTCTCTCTGGCTATAACCATTTGGAAAGGCTGGTGATCATAGGGTTTCGAGAAACCGGAGGATGACCGGCTATTTGCGGTAATAATTGAACTAACTGTGTTGCAGATATTTCTGACAGGTTTTGGGAGATGTTTTGTCGTTTAATCTAATCTTTTGGTATTTTTTGCTATGGGGTTATTCTAACCAGCGTATAAAAAAAGTAGCTTTTTATTATTATATTCTACACTTATCTTTATAAAAAAAATATCCCATTTTTAGAAATAAAAGTAGATTAAATAGTCTAAATATACTACTATTATTTTAGGCTTTCTTTTACATAAATATATATATATATATATATATATATATATAATTAAATATAAAAAATTTATCACTCCCTAATTATTTAGTTTTCTATATAAAAAATTGTCGTCTAAAATACGATCATTGCCAGTGGAGGTGGTGACGCACGTGAGGAGATTGATGAGTGAAAGAAAGGCTGAGTTTGCCGATCTTAACACTCAATCCCATCCTTTCCTCCTATCTCCTATGCTTTTGATTTTTTTTTTCGCTTTACGAGGTTTCTTTCTTTTTATTTAATTAATTCGTACATTCTTCTTCTTCTCTTCCTTTTAATTCAAGAAAACAAATCTTGATTCGTAAGGTACACACGATGTATACGACAGTATACTTTAAAGTTAGAGAACAATACAAAAAATTAACGTAATTAGAAATATTATAAAATATATTTTTTTTAGCATAACTTAAAATATTATTTAATATATTTTGTTTAAGCAAAAATATTATAAAAGGATTGTGGTCCCCTGATTGACAGTATTAAATCTAGGCTCAACCTCTGGTCTAGCAAACACTTGAGTTACGTTGGCAGACTTGAACTCGTAAGAGCTGTTCTGTTCAGCATTGATAACTACTGGTGCAGGCAATTACTGCTTCCACAGTCTGTCATCAGCAGGATTGAACAGCTCTGCTCTCGCTTCTTCTGGAAAGGCTTAGATAATGCTGCTTCAGGTGCACGAGTCTGCTGGAATAAAATCTGTCAACTGAAATCAGAGGGAGGCCTTGGGCTGAAAGACCTAAAATCTTGGAATAGAGCCTCATAAAAAACATTCTTGCAGGCGAAGGTTCCCTTTGGGTTGCTTGGATCAATGCCTATGTCATCAAGGATAAGGACTTCTGGAACATGAAAGGAGGTCCTAGCCTAAGTTGGAGCTTTAATAGAATTCTTAAACTTCGTAATGTTGCACTCCCTGTCCTCTCGAATGGAGCTTCCACCATTAGGGAAATTTGGCTAGAGATTAGATACAAGGAAACTAAAGTCCCTTGGCACACCTTGATTTGGTTCCCTCAACACATTCCTAAGCATAGTCTGATAGCCTGGATGGTGTTATTAGACAGACTTTCTACTTGCGATCGTCTTTTACGAATGGGAATCACCAATGGGATTTGTGTTCTATGTAACGAAATGCTAGAAATCGGAATCACTTGTTTTTGAATGCTCCATCGCTTCTTGTTTGAGAGAAAAAATTATGCTTCTTATCGGTCTAAACAAGAACATATCTTCCTGGGAGGACATGGTAACTTGGGCTTGTAACTCATGGAAAGGTAAATCTCTCATCTCTACTATTCTTAAACTTGCTTGGTGTGCTAACATTTATGTTTTATGGGAAGAACGCAATCGAAGAATCTTCAAAGGATGCTCCAAAACTGTTGATGATCTCCTCAACAGCATCAAAGAATTTGTCGGAATCAAGCTTAGAGGAAAAACCATTAATAGACTTGACTATGTAAACTCTAACCTATGTACTTCTTGGGGTATTTATTAACGATCGCTCTTTTATATATTATCTGTAATCTTCTATGTGATTGGTAATTGTTTATAGCAAACATTGCTTATTTGGGTAATAAAATTTATTTATCTAAAAAAATATTATAAAAATATAAAGTTTTCTATTATCAATTGAAAATATTACGAATAAATTTTACAAAATAAATATTAATAAAATGTTAACAGTTTATTTTATGCTCAATCAAAAATATTATTTTATAATATTTTCAATCGTAATTTTCTTTAGGTGATATTTCCTTAGACTTTTCGGATGCGAAAGTATTCTTGTGTCTAAACTTAAAAAAAATATGATTTTAAGTATTAGTCTTTTCATCCTACAAATTTTGTCCCATATGGATTAAATAAAAATATTGTTATGAGATAAATTTGAGTACGTATAAAATAAGAGAAACAATAAAATTATTTCGAAAAAAGTTATTAATAGATTTAATATTTTTTTATTGTTAGATTTTATGTCGTCACGATTGATTAATATTGTGGTTATTTGTAATCATGGTGATCTTTCCTATTATAGATCCTCATATTGATTTTGGGTACGTGATTACGTGTTCGTGTATAGTTTCTCTCAACGTTCAGCTCTGATTTGTATTTATCAACTGTCTTTCAATAGTTTGATCTACTTTTATGATTCGTTTATTGATGTAATCAGATTTGTTCGTATTTATCTTTCGTTCGAGTTTTTTGGTTGAGTTTTTAACCTTTACCATGTATGGAACTTATATAATCTAAAGTTTCTAGTTGCAATATTATAGGAAAATGTTCAAATTATGAATTTAGTTTACGATAATCATTATAAACTCTTATTGTAATTTTAGATATTTTTACTTTTTAATAAGACTAACAGTTTCTATTAAAAAATATATTATATTAATAAATATAATAGAATGAGACATATAAAGATAAGAAATAAAATATAAGTGTTATTATCTTATGACTTTTCTAATAACACATTTTTAATGAGACAAGTTTAAAATCCAAAATGGACAAATTTAGTGGAACGAAGAGTGAAATTTTATGATCGTTACATACCGTTAACTGTTGTTTGTTATTAATTAGTATTCAAGATCGATATTAAAAAAATATATTGCCAGTAAAATGTTCATATTTCACTCTTATTTTCTCATCGAATTGGCTTTTCACGAAATCCACCCATAATTGATGAAATATCTAGATGTTCGACATGTTAATATTCAAGTATCATATGATGGTCATCAAATAAGACTAGTTTTGAGGCATGTTATTCGTCTTCTCAAAATAATACTTATCGCTATTTATATTTTTGAACAAACACCTAAAATCCTTGAAATTTAAGAAAATCTGAAAATGATATATCTTTTATTTAATTTCGTCAATTTTAAATGAGTTCCGCGAAAAACAAATCCGAAGAAATATAAGTGAAATGTGAATGTTATTATATTGATTTTGACGTGAATGATAATCAATGGCAAGTAACGATTTACTGTCAACGACGACTAAAAAATTACAATGCCTAAAAGTAAAGTGTTTAAAAGTTTAATTATATCGATACACCTCTAAAGTTTAGTGTCTAAAACGATGTTGTTTAAGACATCAATAGTCATAGCAAAACGATGTTGTTTTATCCATGTCAACACGACGCTTTAACTTAAAACGGTTTAGTGATATAATTGAAGTAAAAATCAAAATTTAATATTATAATTAAATCAATTAAAAGTTTATAAATGACACACCACCTAAAATTTAAAGATACCTGATAACACTCTATTAATATATAAATTTAATTTAATTAAATACTTAAATAATATTTTTAGTATAGATAGTTCTACTAAATCAAAATATGGAATTTGTTGGTGGCCATTGGGCAAACACCAAAATCAATTCCAGATCAAAAGAAAACATATGGAATTTGTTTTATGGTATAACATCCACATGTTCTCATTGAATTGATTTATTTTGAATATCAAATGATTCTTGCCCCATATTTTCTTTATAGTCTAAAAATGAGTTCTGATTAGATTTTTTTTTATAATTTATTTAATTAATATTAAAGTTAGTCTCAAATTAAAGTTTATTAACTAAAAATTATATTTATATTTATAATTAGCTGGTGACAAAGCCACGTTCGTAATTGTGGGTCAACTCATAATAAAATTTATTAAGTAAAAATTAAATAAATTGAGATGCAATCTTAAAAAGAAGTTGAGTAGATAATTAAGCATAACACAAAATAAAAATAATTTGAACAGAATATAAATATGCCAGCATGTTAAAATATGAAATCAAATGTATTCATCCAACTATAAATTATTGCTGTTCTGGTAATCGAATTATAAAAACTTTTAATTTAATCACTGACGTTACGAAAATTAATTATTTTGCGTCTCTACCTCAAATCATTAACGAGAATGATGAAATGACGTTTTTAAATTAATATCATAATATATTTAACTCTTGATGTTTATGTAATCAATTAATTTGATATTGATTTTAAAAACTTTAATAAATATCTCAGTGTATATATTCATTAATTTTGAATTAAATTTTCTAATAAATATAAAATTTTTAAAACTCTAAAAATGACAGATTTCTTGGATAATATGATGAGAAAAAAGATCAACTCATTTAGAGTAATTATTTTCTCAACGGTGAACAGCCCCTGACGACTTGTTGAAGTCAATCGGCCAAAAATAAATTTTAAATTAAAAAGTGGAGAAATTTGGATGGCACTGCAATTTCATAAAGTTGTGAACCTTTTTTCGTCTTTAGAACAGGAGAAGGGATGATCACATTCAGATCTGCCAATACGATCCATGAGGACTGCTTTCTTCACCGTCGGATGCAACTCTCTGGGCCCACCTCCTTTTCAACTAAAATATTCTTTCATATTTATGAGGGTGTCAGACAAAAAGGACGAGATGTAAAATGAATGAGATAATGTAGGTGAGTTTTTTTAATTTTTAATATAATTAATGGTGGGAATTATTTTTTTATTTATAAATTGAACAATACCAAATTAAAAACAATATATTCACGTATTTTTAAGTTAAATATGAATATTTAATTATTGTATGTTTTATTCAGGTAAATTATGAAGATTCTATGACTACATAACATCTTTAAAA